TTTAATTTAGTTGACCTTCAAATGCACAATTACTTTTATTAAGTTGTAATGAATTAAAATTAGTATATTATGCAGAAGGGGTACATAATGTGACAGATACTATTTTTTCCTCCTGTATAGTTAAATCAGGACATGGAGGAACTGATAATGAAGGTGACTGCTAATGTGATGCAAAAGCTTTCTCCTTGAGGTCATATATTTAAAAGAACTATGGACAGTTATAATAAATGTCAGTTTTAAATCTGGAAAGGACCTGTATCAGCCATCCTCAGTCGTGTAAATTGGGGTCACAATTTCCTGAATTTTCAACCACTATGTTGTCATCCTTAACATATCTAGACAAAAGCAGATTGAGGATTGCTGTCCTCAATACTTTCATGTATGTGACATTTATATAAAATTCTTTTGATGCATAAAACAAGTGCTAGTAATTTCAACAGAACCCAGACTGTGCCACAGGATCCTGGTGAAGCTGTGTTTGGTTGAAGAACTGCAGTCAGGTGCTTATTGCTTGCCCCTGCATGCTTTGAAACGTCTTTTTATTTTCGGATCCAGAACATTGTACAACTCTAGTGTATCTATCTCAAAAAAATGGTTATATAATGTGTATTAAAACGTAGAAACAAATAAATCATTTGCATGCATTAATTTTCACGGAGTGAGAAAGATTACATTTCATTTTGAACTGCCATTACTCAGTTTGGGATATTTTTAAATATGCAAGTTCATTATTCTTTGTGATTTTCTACTTTAAATCTGCATCTCACTTAAGAGAAAAAGATATGGTATTTTTTATAATCCACTGACAGTATGAAAGCTTATTTCAAAAAACCGATGACGTATAATTGTGCAGTCATGAGAATATTCAATCATAAATTCTGTAATAATTTGAAAACAGTGAACTATTAGTGGTCAAGAGTGACTCATTTTAACTGCTAAATCTTTAAAGGGTACTATATTATCAGAGCTTAAATGAATCTTAAATAAGTGATTTTCTTCTCTTAAATTGGTCCTAAAATGTTACTACTCTGTGTGTGTGTGTGTGTGTGTGTTTTCATACTGGAATGCACACAGCTGCATTCTTTCATTAATGGTTAGCTTTGGGCTAACTTTGTGCTGAAGAAAGCGCTTGAACCAGAATTGGTCTGTTGGAGATGAGCCTGAGTGGACTGGGAGAAATTACAGAGCAATTGGGATTTTCCTGCAAAAAGATAAGCCAAATAAAGCAAGGCCAGATGGTAGATCTGAACATTACAAGACTAGTCTCAAATGTAGGACAAAGAAACCGAACAAGCTGCAGAGATTGCAAGGTATCATATATTGCTGATAGAAACAGTATACTGGCCTGGGAGAGAGGGAAATAGTCTGAATAAATTTGAACTATTTACAAACACTACTTCATTTAAATATTTAATAGATGTGAGATGCCCCTGTTCTGATTTTGTGTGACTATTAAGACAAAAAAAAAAATCAGGTGTAAAGTCATAGCGAGAATAGCAGCAACTCATAAATGGTGGAGTGATATATACCACGTTTCTTTTTTTTTTAAAACCCTTCATCAGTTTCTTCTTTGTTTCACTGTTGGTATAAATAAAAATATAGAAATAGTGAAAGATTGCTGGCTGCTCTTTGGAGAATTCTAAATCCAGAATTGGAATTAAATGACAGCAAAAGTATCATTCTTGACCTAATAAACCAGCAGCATCTCTATGTGAAAAATTGTGCTGCTGTGACTGAAGGCATGGCCACGTTCTACGAATAATGCCATCATGTACAGGTAGTCCTCGACTTACAACAGTTCATTTAGCGACCATTCAAAGTTACAACAGCACTGAAAAAAGTCACATGACCCTTTTTCACACTTATGACCTTCGTAGCAGCCCCATGCTCATGTGTTCAAAATTCAGACACATGGCAACTGGTTCATACTTATGACCATTGCTGTGTCCCAAGGTCATGTGATCCCGTTTTGCAACATTTTGCCAAGCAAAATCAATAGGGAAGCCAAATTCAATTAACAACCGCCTTACTCACTTATCAACTGCAGTGATTCACTTAATAACTGTGGCAAGATAGGTCATAAAATGGGGCAAAACTCATTTAACAAATGCCTCATTTCACAACAGAAATTTTTGGCCTCAATTGCGGTTGTAAGTCAAGGACTACCTGTACATATACAAAAGACAGAAGTCTTTGACTGCAAAACTGCACTCTCCATCTTGCGGACTTTGACTCTCCTGAGGATGTCTGTGTATCAAAGTGTGGTAATTTACTTACTGGGGCAACCTATCAGTGTCAAGGATAGAAAGAAACTATTAAAAAAACATTGCTGAAGTGCAAGAAAACTTTAATTATGATTTCAGCCGTTCTAACTTGTCAGCATTTGTCTCTTGGAATGGAAGATGATGATGAGGCATCTCTCTCTGTATTTGTACAAACTGGAAAATGTTCCAAATGGAAAAAATGGGTTCCCTCACACACACCCACACACCCACACACACCGTGAAATTACTTAGTTCATATCCCAAGGATAGATGTATCAAAGGAAGCAGATAGAGAAACATTATAAAAACTGTTCTGTTGATCAGTCTTTACTAATCACGCTCCCCATAGAAAAACTGGTACACAATCTGGGAGTTATTTTGCTCATGGGTCTTGCTTGGGGCTGGTGATGGCCATGGCTAGTAAGACCTTTCCATAGTTATATCTTGTGTACTATTCAATTCAATTCATTACAGTTATAGAGCAGAGACCAATATCTTGTGCGCTAATTGTGCCCATTCTTAGACTGAGAAGCATTACTCACAGTCATCCATGCCTCAGTAACCTCTCAACAAGACTAGTACATCACACTATCCTTAAATGGCATCCAGTCATTTCAACTATTTAACTATTCCAAAACACAACAGCATATGCAGAATGCCATGATAATGCCTATATAACACTACCAGGGGTGAAATCCAGCAGGTTCTGACAGGTTCTGGAGAACCGGTAGCGGAAATTTTGAGTAGTTCGGAGAACCAGCAAATGCCACCTCTGGTTGGCCCCAGAGTGGGGTGGGAATGGAGATTTTGCAGTATCCTTCCCCTGCCATGCCCACCAAGCCATGCCCACCAAGTCACACCCAAAGGAACCGGTAGTAAAAAAAATTGGATTCCACCACTGAACATGAATTATACTGACTCCCAGTTAGCTTCTAGGTGCAATTCAAGATGTGGCTTTTCCTCTTTAAAGCCCCACATGTCATGGGGCAAGATCTTGTGGCATTACCTATCCCTGATGGCTTCTTTCTTTCTTACTTGATCATGCAGAATGGGTATGCTCCAGGTCCCACTGATAAAACTGTTACCTGATGGGCTCCACAAAGCATGCTGTCAGCCCTACTATGTAGACCAAGCCAACCTTTCTACATAAAGGTTAAAACTATGTCTATTATTATTGGTTATAGTGACAGAATTTTGCAAGGCTCTGCTTTATTCCTCCTATCCCTTATACTTATGTGAATTCAGAAGGTGTCTAACTGAGCTTTGTGCACATGCCTTCTTTGTGTTTTGGATTTAAACCACACTTTTCCACTTGTTGCTTTGGTAATGGATCTGGTCTATCATTCTTTTTTTTTTTTAAAAAAATAATCTTTATGAAATATTTACAATAAAATTAACACACAATAATGGTTGAAAAGCAATATAGGAAGCGAAACATAGAAACACCTAAACACAGGACTAAAACCAAACAACAAACAAGACTAACCGAGAGTTAAGCTCACTCTCCAATTAATATTAACTAATATCATCCTAGCCAAACATTTCAATGCATGGTCTATCATTCTTAAGATCATCTTCTTCGCTTCCTACATGTGATTGAACTGTCACGACACCTGTTTTGTGAAAGTGCCTCCCCCTTAAATTTAGGCAGCCCCAACCTTATAGGTCTTTTAAAAGGTTGCAAAACTGGGGCCTTGGTTGTTGACGGAGCTCCGGCATGGATGTTTGACATTGATAATAAAATTTTTAGGCAACTTGACCCAATTTCTTTTGAGTTACATTGTCATTTTTTGATTAGGTTTTGTGTTCACTGCCCAGACTTCCTTGGGAAAATGGGCAGCTCTACAAAATGTAATTAATAAATAAATATATTATACCACATAATGCATTAATTTTCCACTGTGCTTGTTTGAATGCTGTATGCTGATACAGAAAGACCCTGCTTTGAATTATTCAAAGCTACAATTTTTAAAATTGTGTTCCATGCTCATTACTGATGGATCCAGAAGAATGAAAAGGAAGCATTCCCAATTAACGCAGTGACGTCATGCCAGAGCAGTACAATTCTATACTTCATCCCTTGTTGAAAGATGAGCAATCCAAGAGGGTAAAACACAGCTGGAAAGATTACATTAGGTATCAGCTCTCTGTTGTTTGCCCCTTACGCCTTGATTTTTAAGTATTAATCAAAGACTAAAGCACTTCTAAAAACAACCTGCCTAGAAAAACTGCAGGCACTTATCCGTGTCATCACCAGGAATCAAGACAAAAAACAAACCAAGCAAACAAACACAAAAAAAGATCAGGGTGCCCAGCACAGTCTGTCATAAATGAAGAGGATCTTCCCTCAGCTCTGCCTTGGATAGTCAATTTTGTTTTCTTTTGGACCACAGCAGACTGGATCAAATGCTGCTGTCATGGAAGCAAGCGTACATTTATGGATGTGAGCATTCCCACAGATATGTGCCTCGCAGTTCCCTATGACCCAACGATATTTTTTTTATGGGAAATCTATAATAACTTGCAGTTGAAAATGCATGCCATCGATCCCCGCTGGCAACTATGATGCCAAGTGGTTCATTAAAAAGGCTTTTCTAAAAGACATCCCAGAAGTACTTATCTGACATCTGGCCTTTAAAGCTTGAGCGTGAGTTTTCGTAGGCTTAACAGAAAATATTGCTTTTTAAAATCCCCTTTGAGGATTTGGTTTTTCTTAGCTGGTTTCGTGATCTGTACCTTTTTCCTTGCCCAGGTTCTCTTCTCCATCTGCTGGGCTGCTTGGAATTGAAGAAACTGCCTCATCTGTTTTGAAAAGAAAGAAGTGATAGATATTGGGATATAATTTGAATGCAGTAATGATTGTAAATGGTTACACCTGCACTGAAATATATAGGTTATGCATTTTATTAGCTGAAATCCCCTTTTCTTTTCTTTCATGGAACAATAATCAGAGTGAGATTTGTAAACACACTCAATTTCCACACAGATTTAAATAGTCAGGGGCACAGGGTACCAACATTTTGTATAATTGAATTTCAAGTTCTACTTAGAGTCATTCTACTTTATACTATCCTTGATTGAATATTTAGCTTTATCCTTTTTTTTTTACTGTGAATAATGGCAAACTCTTCCTCATTCTGTCCATTCTGCCATTTACTCACCCTTCTGGTGTTTTTTCTCCCCTTTCATAGAGGAAAAACAGTTTGCAGAAGGTATTTTATGCTGCATTGCTTCTTCTTATAACGATCTTTGGTCTTAAAGGCTAACTTTTGCTGTTGCAAGTTACAAAAAACTCCCCCCCCTCCAACAACAAACCAAGCCAACACACACAAAACAACAACAACAGCAAACATCTGAGTTGGGGGAGGATATGAAGTTGTGGAACATTTTCTCTGGCTCTAATTCTATGTATGCATGTCTGTGTGTGTTGTGTGTGAGAGAGAGTGTGTCTGTGTACGTGTGTGCATATGTGTATGTGTATATGTATATGTGTGTGTGTGTATGTGTACATATACCATGTTTTCCCGAAAATAAGACTCTGTCTTATATTTTTTTGAACCCTGAAATAAGAACTTGGCCTTATTGCCATGCGCTCAAAAGTCCGATTGGGCTTATTATCAGGGGATGTCTTTTTTGGGGAGAAACAGGGTATATGTATCTATGTGTAAACCTTTCAGGAAAAAGTGTGTGAAAAAGTTTAAGGCAAAATAAGAACACTGTAATAATAACAATGTACAATCATTTGTTAAAGTCCTTGCTCACTGGGAAGAAACCAAATCTCAAACATAGATTTCATTAAATAAAAAAAACCTGTAAGATAATTAATATTTTGAAAAATGGCATCTTCTGACTAAATAGAATCATTGTAATGCTCAAAGAAAAGAATCAAGCATGTTTTTTTTTTTGGCCACTGGATGTCCATGGTAGCAGATTATATTGGGCAGATTAAAGAAATGTGGCCCCTAACACAGTTTAGTGCCTCATGTAAATGTTTTTTTAAACGTTAGTAAAATATTCTTGGTTGGGCAGAAGAAAAGTCCCCAGTGAGTCTTCTAAAGGATATCTAACTCACAGGGGCAGGTTCATCTAATCTACATTCCTACAGGAAAGGAAGGAGATCTGATACAGAAACTTTGACTCTTCCTCTTACATTATATAACCTAAAGATAAAGCAGTCAAGAAAACAGATCTTAGACATATTGCCATGCTTCCAATTCTTCCATATTTTAAAATGATGGTGTTTTTTTATTCAACAGCAGTCTCAATGAAACTAAAGTGCGTGACTGCACATGTGTGCAGATGCTGGCCAAGAAAACATTGAGGAACAATTAGAAAAGTCGTGTGGACAGAAAAAGCCCACCTGCCTCTGAAAGCCTCAAGACAGCCTTGTGTGCTTGTGAATGAACAGCTGAACAATTGGAGTCAGTGGAATTATTTCGCAGAATGGGCACAGCATTTTGGACATAGTGCTTCTCCTCCAGACTGTAACAAGAGATTGGGGTGAAGGGCATTTTGCTGTAACGTATATTCAACTCTTTAGAAACAGCCACAATGCAGTATACACAGATCGAATGGCTGAATAATGTAGGATGGATAGCTTGGCTGCTTCGCTCTATTGCATTGAGTGATTGGGCCTCCCCTGCTGTAGCTCCCAGGTATTAATAAAAAGTTTTCCAACCTGATAGAAACAGTTTCCGTAAAGGATGAGTTGTGATACTTGAAGTAAATATGTGCACGCTACAGAATATAAGCCATTAACCCTTTTTTAGGTGTGTCAGTCAGGAGAGAACATCTATGCTATTTGAAGTAGATGTAAATAAGTCAATCTGTCATGCAACAGTCAGGTTCGTATCTTAGAGGATAAGGACATTCATAGCAAATTTTTGGTCCTCTCTGGCTGAGGCCAGAGAATGAGCAAAGACCATCTCCCTACAATATATAGATATAGATGTATGGAAAGCAGAAGAATTCCTTCTGACTGTAGCGTAATTTTTTTTTTTTTCTATTTCTGTTCAGTTTTAAAAATGCAGTTTCAATTGCAGATATATATTGTGTTCAGGTGGGTTTTTTTTTATGAGTTTCAACGTTTATTTTCAAAGGTTGTATTTGCATACCTTGGCTCTTTCTTCCTGAAAAGCCAGTAATCCAATTTGTAACCACTGTGTAGAAAAGCAGTTATTCAGAAGCTAAATCAACAGAATAAATGCCTCACAGTGCAGGTTTATTCCCAGCCAAAGAGGTCCTTCATCTCTTCAAGCTTATTTTCTACACATTCTTGCCTTCCTTTGATGTCTGAACTTTATACCTTACTGCTGTAAACACTTTCCACTGAAGAGGTTTCTAGGATCTCCTCCACCTTAACAGAATGTGCTGTCAATTACTAACAGGAAATGCTACATTCCGGGGCTGGAAGGAATGCATTCACTCATAATGAATAGCGCTCTGGGCTCCAATGGGAAAGCTGTACAAGCCCTGATTTAATCCTGTGGAAACGTACAAACGTTGTCAGTCAATAGCATCGACTCAGATTATTGCTCACCAAGGTTCAGAAAGCCTGGCTGATAGAACACTTCAATAGATCTCGGCATAATACAAACCTGTTTCTTGGCTCTGATGCTCCGGTTCATCACTGCTTGGCTTCACTTCTGTTCCATTCTCACCTGCCAGAAAAACGACAGCCATAGAGGGTTATAAACCACATTTCTGATTGTTAAACAGACAAAGTCAGTAGGAACTGCAGCCAACGTAGCAGGTTGATGGCACTACATATAACGAACCCAACAAGGAAAGCATAGGTAAGCCAAAAGTAAACTGCGACAATCACAGGATTGGATCCAAATATAGACATTTTTAGAACTGATCTATTAATTGGACCACAACTAACTTAAATCATATTGATTCTGATATATGACTAAACCAGATTCAACATACACACACCAATATTGAATATTTAACATTCTTCTTCCCAGTGGAATAGGGGATTGAGGAATCCATAACAGTTTAGACAGTTGCCTTCAATCCTGGAAAAGTTGCGTAGAGAGTCAAAATGGTTTTGTAGCAGTTAGGATTCTATAGTACACAACATAATTTTGCACGTGTATTTTTAGGGCCAATACTGTGTATATTGGCTACAAAAATCTGGAGGACTACGAGATGGAAACATAATACTAGAGAGGCAGCTAGACTTTATTGCAATTTAGTTGTCTGGAATTTTATTGCCCAGATTTTATTCCCCAGTTATAAGATTTTTATTTTTTATTTGGCTTAAGTTCAACAGGAATGTCTATGTATGACTGGGGGTATTGCAGTTTCCCTCAATTTTATTACCCACTTTAGGCTGCTTTGGAAATTCCACAGTTTTTCCAAGTTAAAGAGATGCTTCCATAAAAGATGGAAGCAGAAAATGTGTGAAAACAACTTGAAACACTACTGTTAGTACAAATCCCTATATCATGGATTCCCAAGCTTAAATAATTTCTTTCTAGAAAATTTATTAATGTGACAATATTCTGAAGCAAGACGAACTAAATGAGGGTTACCAAGAAATTGTGGATAAAATCCTTAATACAGTATATTTACCTAGCTTCATAGCATGGAGGAAGGTGTCTTTTCAAATGGATATATGCTAGCCTTTTACCAAATGACTTTTATTTGCCCTATAAAAGATTTTATTTACCCTATAAGAAATTCTCTGGTAGAGTTTGATTTTTATTTGTCACTTCTGCTGTTCAGTGTTTGGGTTGTCCAATTTTCTTGGGTTGTCCAATTATACACATCTATCTATTCCCTCTGCTTTTCTCCTTCCCGAAACATTGTACTAATTTTTCTTTTTAGTCATGTACTTCCTGTTTTGATTTATACTGACTGCTAACTTTATGTTTGTAATAGTAATAATAATGACAGGAATAATTTTATTTCATTCAGTTTCAAGGCTGCCGAGATCTTTAACAGCGTCTAATTAAAAAGGGAAGGAAGGGAGGGAGGGAGGGAGGGAGGGAGGGAGGGAAGGGATATTTAACTGGCTTGATGATTCCTATTATTTTTTCTGTTAATCTTCAGGAATGCTTTAAACTGTTGGACGGTCCCTCAGGCACTGGCGTTAAGATATTAGGTGAGCTTTTTCCTGGGAGTACATGTTGGTATGCCCTGTTTTATATATTCGATTTTCCGTTGAGATATTGTGGTTTCTTTTATTTATTTCATTCTTGTACATTACCCAGAGTTGCATTTTTGTGAGTTGGGTGGCCCTACAACTCTTTAAATAAATAAATAAAGAAAGAATAATAATAATTACTACATCTACCCTGAACTGAATTCCTCCAAATGCTTGACTTATTACAGAAAACGTATAACAAATTACTTTAGGGCTGTGTGAAGTGGAAAGGCATGTAGCCCTGTGGCTAAATTTCTCTCACTGCATAATCCTCCTTTCCTTCTACTGACATTCATGTTTCGGTATTTCAGATCCTAAACATAAAAGTAGTGCTTTGGCTCAATGATGTTTCATTCAGAACAGCAACTTTCTAATCTCTAATATGAATGAGCCAGATGACCTGTTGTCACCTGTTCAGAGCCTTGTGCTAGAAAGACAGTCACATAGTAAGATGGCAGAGTAATTGCTTAAATCATATTGCCAAACTGTTGCGTGTTCATAAAAAAAATCCCTTTTCTAAGAAGAAAAGAGAAATGGTATAAATGTCTCTAGGAAATAAATGGAACAAATTGATTTGCAAGTCCTATAAAATGTTTAATCATTATCAGTCTTTCTTTCCCTTCTAGTCCTGCAGGATTGTTATACCTCTCTCTGCTTCTATACAGCTTCTATATAATTGCAATGTATGCACCCCTTTCTTTTATCTTCTAAGAGTCTTAACATCAGAAAAGTGCAAGAGAAATCTGGCAAATTTTGAGGCGAAGGAAGAAGGAAAAAAGGAAGGACATCTAGACTAAATAAACACTAGCTATCTTTGAATACGGTGTTGTAAATTGTTCAAGAAAATTGACTTTTCTTGTGTCTTTCTTGGGATGCTGTTGATTAAAACAGCCAGCAGGTGGAGCTGGTGTAGAGGCATTTATTTTCTTTTAAACCCAGAGGCCCTGCAGTTTTGATCTTCATTCTTCAGAGATCAGCTTCGGGACAAGATTCTCAACTGGTATAAATCAGTGTCGCTGCACCACATTCCAGGCAGCCATGGTGGGATCCCAGGAATTTTAGCTGGCTTCAACCATTGCATTACTGATTTTCATTGCCCTAACAAATAGCAAACTGTACTAATTTTTTAGGACTTCAGAGACCTTTCAATCTCTTTAAGATTCTCTTTGGTAAATTCTTTTACATCTGTAGTGTTATACAGGAAACAAGCAAAACTCAAATAAAACCAGTGGTGGGATTCAGCCAGTTCGCACCACTTCGGGAGAACCGGTTGTTAACTTTCTGAGCAGTTTGGCAAACTGGTTGTTGGAAGAAATCATTAGGGCAGAGAACCGGTTGTTAAATTACTTGAATCCCACCATTGAATAAAACCATGTTCTAATGCAAATGTTATTCTATTTTGGAGCATTAGTCTTACCAGTCAAATGTTGGTTGCATCTTTTGTTGTGTAACTGTATTTTTCAGCAATAGTGATTTAAAACAGAAGGCCGAGTTGAGAGATTTTCATCAATTTATCCATTGTTTTACTGTTGTACTTGTTTCCTGGATTATTTGCTTACTTGATAATTTTATGTATGCAGACTGGCTCATAGTTTTACAGCACCTGCATTACCATTACCTCTTCTTTTATTTTATGCATCTCCATTTTATTTTCTTTAGACTGTTTCGCTCTAATAGTATTCAATCATTACCACAGAGATGGGGAAATTGGCAGCCCTATCCATTAAAAGGTTAAATTCCACCAATGACTATGATTTGCTGTGAAAATGCCACACATTTGCATTCTGTCTAACAGAGGCCATCTTTTAATAGAAAGGACACTGCTATTTTAATGTTTTCCTCCCTCCATGTCCCTCAGAATTGACTGGAAGTGATGAACAACATGAATAGCAAATCTGTTCCATTAATGGAAATCCATTCACATGCTTTGAATGTAGGATTCTCAGTGTAAGCCTGCTCAGTTTCATTGCCAACCAATGTTGTGATGGAGTGTGTGATACTAAGCTATTTTTTATCTTTACGGTTGCTAAATCACAGGATTTACATTTGTCCTAAAGTGTAACACAAGGAATGCACATTGTTCAAAAAGGGGGCTGAATCCTTTAGCCTCCAATCCCAAGGTTCTTTACATTCGGCATAAGAAATAGGGGAGGGACTATCTTTGCAAACTAATATTGGCAGATGTGAGAAGGGGAGGACCTTCTAGAAGAAGCTTTTCTTTTACCACACAAATGCAGGTTTAAATTTAGCAGTATGAGGGCTTACCTTAAATCTGTATCTTCTTGCAAAGAATGACGATCTGATCATTCCATAGTCAGGTGATGACTCAATGATCAGGTCATCATTCTTTGCAAGAATATACAGGAGGGAAGAATGGCTACTACACCAAGGGAGGGAGGGAAGGAGGGAGGGAGGGAGGGAGGGAGGGAAGGAAGGAAGGAAGGAAGGAAGGAAGGAAGGAAGGAAGGAAGGAAGGAAGGAAGGAAGGAAGGAAGGAAGGAAGGAAATGCCAGGAAAAAAAATGTTTTCTTTACACTATTCCCTCCTTTAAAACACTGCCACTGCCTCTTCATGAACAGTACCAATAAAAGGAGCAGACATGATTTACTATTTATACAGTGCTTTTTTATTTATTTTCCACAGAATTTGCTAGCTAAGGAGCAAAACGTGCACAGAAGTATTTTGTATCATTCGCAATGACAGAGTATCTTTTCCAGAAGGATGGCTATTGAATTGCACTCAACCTCACCATCACTTTCTGTTTTACTGGAAGTATCCAGAACAGTCAGATGACAGTCACCATGGAAGACCTGAGGATGGTGTCTAGTCTAACCCTAACAAAGATTTGATTTGAGCTTGGGGTCTTTCAGAATACTAATAGTCTTTATGGCATGGCTAGATCTTCAAGGCATCTAGTTGCTAATGTTACCCTACTACAAGGAAATAAATTCTGAAGCTGCAAAGAATTACAGTAGGAACATGGAATGTAAGAGCATGAATACAGGACAGTTCAACACAGTGGAAAATGAAATGAAACTTCTACAAATTGACAGCATCACTGAATTGTATGGATTTGGATCAGACACTTTCAGTCAGAAGATCTTCATTACTCAAGACATGAAAAATAGTGTTGCTGTTACATATATATATAGAGAGAGAGAAGATATAGGAAGAACAGTACTTGTCTACAATGTAATCAATGACTGAATGATACCAATTAGACTTTGTGGACAACCCTTTAGTATGAGAACCATTCATGTTTATGCTGCCACTAATGTGGAAGAAGGGAGCAAAAAGGTAAATAAGAATCTGATTCAAGAATGTTATAAACAAATTAAGAGGCCAAACTTGAAAAAAATGGAATGTTAGGACTTTTGATATAAGATGTTGAAAATAATTATATAAATAATTAGCACTTTTATGGAAATCACTTTGTTTAGTCTAAGTTAAAACAGAAATCTGTGATTTTATGATTTCACAAATTAAAACTAGAGGGGACTAAAGATTCCAGGCAGAAAAGGGAACTAAAGATTCCAGGTGCAAAAGGAAAAAGTTAAAGGCCTGTCTCTTTAAGAGGGAGAAAACAACTAAAATGGATACACAAGTGACAAGCCAAGAGATTTACCTGGATAAGGACTTTTTACTAGACTTACAGAAGAAGTTGGTTACAGACTTGAAGAAATCTTTGAGATAGGAAAAAGAAAAAAAATTGAAAAGGGATTAAATTGTATGACGAAGAAGAAGAAGAAGAAGAAGAAGAAGAAGAAGAAGAAGAAGAAGAACAACAACAACAACAACAACAACAACAACAACAACAACAACATAGTAGTTCTATCCTTCCCTCCCTTTCATCCTTCTGCTCTTCTTCATCTTCCATCTGCTCACTTTGAGCAAGCCAAGGATTCACCATGTTCTCAGGCTGTCCCCATTCCATCTATTTTTCAAGGATTCTCTGGGATATGATGAACTATGTGATTTTATGTGATTCATAAAATTAGGATCAAAATAAAAAGAAAACAGAGGCAAAGTAGATGTTTATTTCTCCAGCGTTCAGACATCCAGAGTAGACCTCTAGATATATGGAGGAAAATGAAGATTACTAAAGCCCTGTCTAACAACTTGATCACATCACAACAAGGACTAGAACATGACTTACCAAGAATAATGTTAAAGGCAGCTGAAAAGCTATTCTAATTACGTTTAGAATGAGCAAATTAATTTTATGTGACTGTAAGTCATTCCAGTGATGGAATAACCAGCATGTTTTGTTGTATAAACTATACTAAGTCATGAAATGATACTAAAAACATACGGCTAAAGGCAATTAGTTGTCAATGCATAGACAGGCATAGGGGAGCCAGAGGAGATAAAAATAGAGAAAGAGAGAAAGGAAATGAGAATAGTTATATTATGCAAATAATACACAGCTCCAAAGGAATTTCTTTTCAGTCCTCAGCAAATATTTTTTTTTAAACATTTTCAGATGACAGTCACCCACTGAACATCTTTTATTGATGAAGAACTTTTTCCTAATTACTTCTTTCTACTAACACTGGAAGCAAAGCAAATGAAAGGGGGTTTAATAGTGTATGTCTCGTGCAAAGAGGCAAGACTATTTATCTGTTCCCTAACTTCACCCTTTTCTCTCATTCATTTTCTGATCATCAAAATTAAATCCAAAATTACTGACTTGCATTTTATCCTGATGCCATATTAGTGATAAAAATATATTTTCTTTCCCTCAGATTGACAATGTATAACTTTTCTCTAACATAAGCTAAAAATTACCAACAAATTGTTAGATGGTAACTGCCACACACTATCTTTCATTAACAATAAGTGATATGTAATGATCTGTTTATTCCTTCCAAAGATGATAGAACATCATATATCTTTTTTTGACTAGGAAATATAAATGGATCCAAGTTCTATCTAATGTGAAACAAGAACTTCTGTCCGCTGTTGTGAGGAGAAAGAATCCATTTAAAGGCAAGAGTTTGCACATTATAATGGCACAGCACAGACAAAATTAGTCCATCTGTTGCTGAAATGCAATGTGCTGCAAGGGCTTTGTTTTCCTTGCCAAACTGGTCACTGACAATTATTAAGAGTCTATTCTCTTCTTAGTTTTTTTTTTTTTTTTAAGTTAAGGGATATTCAGATTTATAACTGGTAAAACAAAAACAGAAATAACAAAAAAATAATAAATCCAGTAATCCTGCTCACAAAGAAGACAAGATTTTTTAAAAAGGGGAAAGAAAAATAGAAATTGCAGAAACTTGTGAAAACCTGTATATAGTATTTTCTCACCACTTTTCTGGAGTTGCATTGCTAATGTTTGCTAAAGTAGCAGCCCCAAGATGAAACAGTGGATGCAACAATTAGCAAAAAGCAGAAGCTTGATTGTGGGTTTTTTTTTTTTTTTGGCAGACATTTCATTACTCAGATATATAATATTTCTTTTAGTATTTTCAGCGCTAGAAAGGAATGTGCTTTGCTCTCTCTATATATACAGTAGTTTGACCCATCAGAGTTAGTTGGGGTGTTGTTTCCTAAGGTATAGTTTACTACTTGACTGTTTGTCTAAGTTGTAGTTCCTTGATTAGAGCATTGTTTATTGTTTGATTGTTTGTCTCATGTTAATTTACGGCCAGAATATCTAATTATTTTAATACTGTTTTTTAAATTTTGTATGTTTTGTTTTTACTTAGGCTGTGCACCGCCCTGAGTCCTATTTGGAGAAGGGCGGTATAGAAATTTAAACAAATAAATAAATAAAATAAATGCTGGTGTTAATTCCTGCTCATCTGTGTGTTGATTGCTTGGGTGTTGATTGTTGGCAAAGAGGTGTTATGGATTTTTTTTTCCTTTTTAACTTTTTTACTGTCTCTTTTGAATGGCGTGTAAGTGTGGTTTATTTCTATGTACCTGATGATAGCTGATTTATCCAAATGCCAAGATTCCAGAAACTTCTTAGCACTTTTGGATTTGGCTTCATCTAGAATGCTCACAATTTTCCAATTGAAACTATGGTTTAGTCTGTCCATTGTGAAATTAAGGAGTTTTCATCATGACTTCTGACTGCTATTTGGCGTTCATAGATGCATTCTGCTGGTCTTCTACTTGTCTGTCCCACATAGTGGCTGTTGCAGTCTTTATGTTGGAAATGACTCCTGCTTTTCTTCCTATTTACTGGGTCTTTTGGTAATCGCATAGCTATAACAGAGTTTCAGCATTTACCATTTTCACTGGCAAAGCTCTCCAGAGAATGCTTTGCCACATCACTTTCCAATTTAATTATAACCACAAAAAGCCAAAAATGTTAGCTGTGTGTTATCTGACTTTTTGGTCCCCCCACCCCAATTTATTGCCTAGCTTTAAGAAATGCTGGAATGTTTCCTGACTCGGTCAGCTGTGGAAGTTATGCCCTTCTGTGCAAGCAGTCTATAAAAAGAAGGGAAAACACTTAGTATAGTAGATTCGTATAGGCTCCTGTGTACGTGTGTTTCTTTATAAAAGTGCACACACAATCAGTGGATAGGATGCTTTATTAAGAAAATTATGGCTGAAAAAAAAAAAAGGAACAGAAGCAGTCTTCACTTTCGCACACATGTAATCTATTCCACAAAAGATCAATGCTGGCATTGCAAATAAACACATAGGTAGTCCCTCCTATATGGTTTCGTGCCACTAAAAGTGACCTGAACCATGGATGAGGTGAGGGAAAGGTGACCAAGGATTTAGATTACAATTTCCAGACAGCATGGCCAACAGTAATTCATGATGAGAGTGGTAACCCAAAATATACAGAAAGAGCTAGGTTCCCTATACTTAACAAAGAGCTAATTCATTTGTTTATTTAGTGAATGGCACTGTTACATTGGCCAGGAGACTATAATGCTAAGGCAAAGTAGTAGTTTGGCTGCTTGTTTACCAACTCTGTTACGTACATGCTTGTGCAGTTCCCAGGGTGCACCATAGGAGGCCAAGCTAACTTCACACCAGAAAGAAAGGTGAGCAGCCTTTCCAGCAGCATTATCCAAGGCCCTCTCCCGCCACAGAAGCCGCCTTGAAAATGGGCGTTGCAACCAGGAAGGTTCAATGCTGGCAGGATTCTAACTGCTGCACGAAGAGCTGGCTTGTCTTCCCACCTAAGTGGTACATATTTATCTACTCGCATGAGACATACTATCGAATTACTAGGTGGGCAGAAGCTGAGGCAAGTGACAGGAGTTCACCCCACCATGCAATCAAATTCAAACCGCTGGAGCAGAGACCACCTCCAGTGTCATTAAGCTATTGACCCACCATGCCTCTATCTAGTCCATGTTTAATTTGGAATATACAGTATGACTAACTAATAAGACTCTATGGGCTTGATGTCAATGAATTTCTCAATATGTGGGTTCATGTCTAATGTTACCCTAATCACAGATTAGAACCCACATTGTTGGACACTTGATAGCATTTTGATTCATGCAAGAGTAGCCAACCATGGCTTTAAAACTTCAGACGTTCCATTAAGCAGTACAGATAAATCAAAGGTGGGTTTCAACAGCTTCTGACCAGTTCTGGAGAACCAGTAGCGGAAATTTTGAGTTGTTCGGAGAACCAGTAAATACCATCTCTGACTGGCCCCGGCCCCATCTATTCTCTGCCTCCTGAGTCCCAGCTGATCGGGAGGAAATGGGGATTTTGCAGTAACCTTCCCCTGGAGTGGGGAGGGGATGGAGATTTTACAGTATCCTTCTCCTGCCATGCCCACCAAGCCATGCCACGCCCATCAAGCCACACCCACAGGACCAATAGTAAAAAATTTTGAAACCCACCACTGAAATAAATTATTCCATAGTGGAATGTTTGTATCCAATCAAATCTTCAAATTAAATGGAATAATCTTAGACTTAAAAAAAGGAAGAGCAGGTTTGAGGATCATACAATTACTTGTATAATAGACCCACGCATAATGAAATAGCTCCTACCACACAACAGTATGTGTCCATTAGCCAGATAGCAAGCACTTGCCAAAGTGGTTAGAACATCCTATAGTATTGTAGATAATGGCCTTTTCATTAATTGTTACCACTCTTCCTACAAAGTTTTTGAGCTCAAAACTGACACAGAATCGGTTTATAATGGATTGCTCCAAAAGTATATTTGGCAATCATGTTGTTACAGACAATAAATAGCACCTTTGTCAAAAAGTTTAGAATATATAAATATATGATGCATTTTCTGCAAACAAGTATATACAATTATGATTAATCACTAATAGAAACAACTTGCAATTTTTAAATTTTCTTTCATTCTCAGACATTCTACTTTTGTCTTATGAAATTCCAAAGACATTAAAATGAATCATTAGGTGAACAGCTTGATATTACTGTAGCTTTTGCATGAAGTACTTCTGAAGTACTTCTGAATCACTGACAAAGCATACATAACCCTAATTTATTTGTTCACCTGCTACTTGCACTAGCTCACAACACTAATGATAATGACGCCTTTCCTCATAAAATGTAAGGAGGGTGGTAATCTAGGTAATCTTTCTAAGGTTTACCCCAAAAGATTTCAAAGAAGCAGTTCCAAATTACCAAACATGCACTCATCAACTAGGTATTAGATATTTTTTATCAGCCTTGAACCCTTTTTGATCTGGTGGGCATATTTTGAGAATATAGTGTAGGTACTCTTGTAAAATTACTCCATGTATGAGTCATTCAAA